AGCACATCTCTTCACACCTGCCTTTGTCCCACATTGGGTTGATTTGACCTGACACCGCGGCTGCGGCTCCTGGGCTACACAGCCTGTCATTAGGAGCACCGCGCATGAACCAGAGGACTGGTCCTGTGGGAAGTTACTTTGGCGTCAAACCTACCTTTCAAAGGCCTCCAGGCATGTGGAGTGGCATGTCTAAGTCCAGTTACTTGCATTCTTTCTAAGTTCTTATTTACACTGTAAGTCTGTCTTTCACAGTGATCTTTCAAAGCATCCGTGCTTTGAAGAGGAGTCCCAGGGAGGCGCCATAGCAGGCGATCCCATGCTGGTTAGGCATGTTTCATAAGAATGCCAGTGTCCACTTGAATCACATAGCAACCTTGTCACTTGGACTTCGGCAGATTGTCGCTTTGGGTAATCAAAGCCAGATCAATTATAAAGGGTCTTCAGTTTTGCAGGTAAGATGGTCTGTCCTAACTGCAAATTCTAAACACCCCTGGGTTCAAACGAGGCAGAAGAGTGTATATTGGTGATTGAGTCTGAAACCACATCGATCCATAGCCAACCGTCCTTTCCTGACAGGGACTAAAAGTCCTCCTGCATCTTAGAGAGTGGTGTGATTCTCTGGCTCGGGTTTAGCATCTTGCTCACCCTGCCAATCTCCCTGAGCAGCAACTAGCCACGGAGACCATTTCTAGTTGGTAACTGAGAGCTTCGGTAGTCCATCCTTAGGGCCGATGGAACATGGCAGCCCTGGGTGGTGAGTTATGTGAGTCGCCCTCTTAGATGAGCAGTGAGAGGCAGCACATGTATCAATTTATACATCAGCCACTTGAGATTCGCCCTTTATGTTCGTTCTCCTGATGACTCTTAGAGACAAAGTTAAAGATCACGAACCTTAACTTGAACTGACTGGTGTCATGGCAACTAGCACTTCACCTTTTGCTGGTCCCCACCTCATACATGCTACAATATTTGTGCACATTAATAATTCATTGCAAACTGCCAGATTTCTTTGTGCTGTCAAACTGTGTCAGGGACCGACTGTGCTGTGCTATCTCAGATGTCACCTACCAGACTGTTGAGGGCAAGAGTAATTAGAAAAGAAAACTAGTCTGGTTACTTGAGAAAATTCCTGGGTGGGGGGGTGGGAAGAATGTGATGTTTTCTAGCCACCCCTTTATAGCATTTTTCTTGTAAAGTAGGGAATCAAATTAGTGTTGATCAAGGCCTACTTGATAATGTGCCCCAGACAGAAGGCAGGAGTTTGGCTGGGGAAATAACACACCAGCGATAATTGCTCACCTCCAGTCAGGCAGCAAAGGAAATGATTAAACTGCCTGGTGCTCACTCACATGTATTAGGCTCCAGTGTGAAACTTGAGCAGAGGTTTCAAAAGAAGTCTGAGTGGTCCCGGCATGAATGCTCTTATCCCAGCTTGTCTTGCCCGGCACCCGCTCGGTGTTTGACAGGAGCTTCAGAATCTGACCCATCTGGCCTCCAAGGTTGTTTGTGTGGCCACAGACAGCTCACTGCGCCTCACAGTGTCCTGAAAAAACGTGTTTGCAGGGGCCAACATCATTCATAGTTGTTGTCATTGTCGAATTGCCTATCACCAGCAAGCCTCTCCTGGTAAGAACACAGTGTTTTGTCATAGAATGGAGAAAAATCGACACGTGGCAATCATGTATACAGAAGGCCAAATGTGTCCTGGGTTAGGTGCATCTTCCAATTAAAGCATGTAATCTCTCCCCGTCACTGCCTTTTTGTTTTAACGGATTCCTCCCTTTCAGAAGAAAGCTTCACATTTAAACCGACTTGTTTCACACTTTGCTGGCTAACTACTTCAAGGGGAAGCATATTTTAGTCACATAACCATGTCCAAACTGTTCTTATTTGTCCTTTTCTTTTAAAAACCAAAGCAGTAACTTAACTGTTTCTGAACCACTTCGCTCCACCCCCCAGGGGTAGGGCACTTGGCACAGTAGCCTCCAATCGTGTTTTCTTTAGAATATGAAGACAAAACTAGAACTGTTTTCCGTTTGTGCTGGTGTGACACAGTTGAGTGCTGGGAAGTCTCAGTTCTGCCCAGGGACAAGAATAGGAATGACTCCCATTTTGCCCATCATTGTAGAGATCTTGGCATAGTACCTGTATAAAATATTTGTTGGATAAGTTAATACCATCAGACGGATTGCATATCCGTTTCAGAACTTTTACAACAAATTAAACTGAAAAACAGGAAGGTGTTAATCTTCTATCACTTACCTTTACATGGTGCTGGAGATCTGGATTAGTCATTTCACACCTGCAGGAGAGAACACTGCACATGAATATGTGGAAGTCATTAGCACCAGCCCGTTCTGGTGTCTGTGCGTTTCTAATCAGTGAGGGAGGACACTGGCCATTTAAAGGGGCACATACAGCTGTGTTAGGCATTGTATTTCATATCTATACTTTGTTTGGATTTAATATTGAGTCTTGTGCTAACCAAGATTAAGGATTTTAAGTGAATAAATTTATATTTATGTAAACCCTGCATACTAAATGTATCCCTTCTTCCAAGAGCAGGTAAATTTAAACTTTTAATACTTGGAAATGATCTCCGGGTCATTTCATTGGGTAAATTAATCATAACTAGATACTTAGCGGCCTGATTACTCCTAGGGATATTTGATTGGTTTAAATAGAACTTTGTAAGCTTCTTTGCAGCAAATCTGTGATAGATTGATGCGATACGCCTCCAGTAGGTTCCAACTCCCGGACCTTACACACACCAGAAGGAAGCACTACCTAGTCCTGCGCCATCCTCAGAACTGGTTTGTGTAAGCCCATATTGTCATAGCCACTGCCAGCCCATCTCCTTGGGGGTCTCCCTCCCTGGCTGCACTTCTGCTTTGCCAAGCATGATGTCCTTTTCCAGGGACTGCGCCTTCCTGAGAACAAGTCTGAAGGAAGTGAGCAGAAGTCTTGTGATTCTTGCTTCTAAGGAGCATTCTGGCTGATTTTTTTAAAAAAATGAATTTATTCATTCTTGCCATCCATGGTAATATTTAATATTCAGTATTCTTTACCAACATCAATTTAAGTGCATCAGTTCTTCTCCAGTCTTCCGTAGTCATAAATCTAAATCAAGCCCACTGCCATGGAAAAGATTCTGTCTCAGACTATCTGAGGCTATTATACATCTCACTGAGAACAAATAGCCTTATCTGTCTTCCATGGGTGGCTGGTGGGTTTGAACTGCCAACCTTGTGCTTAGCAGTCCAACGCTTACCTGTGTTCCTTATTCATATCTGTGATATCATGTCACATATAAACTATAGAACCTAAAGTTACACTCATAATTACCTGACGATTATCATAATTGCCCTAACCATTCCTGCTTACTATATGACCCACCCACCCCTGCAAAAAAAATTAACCTGAAACCTGCATCTTGGAAAACCAGAGACAAAGTCAAGATAGTCTAGAATGATGCTGGACAAAAAAGGCTTAATGTCCTTACAATAAATAATTTTGGGAGATACTGGTGGTATAATATAAAATAGTTTTAATATAAAAGGTGATATAACATAATGCTATACTCTGAATTATAGGTCAGGGATAAATTGTCAAGGCAGAGAAGAGTTTGTGGGGAAAGACAGACAAAAATTAGCATGACATCGAAGACCTAGCCAAACTGGGTATAAATGGGGTGGGGGGGTGTTGGAGATAGCGGGTGGGAAGGTTGCATGATTGTCTAGGAGTGAGAGTGGAGACACCTTGAGGATTTTGGCAAAGATTCACAGGGCATCATGGATTGGAGCATTAAAAACCTTGGGCATTAATGGAATTACCATTCTTTTTCTTGAACATGTAAAAGTTATAACAAATTAGATGTCCATGTTTAAAACAAAAGCTCGGTGATACCCTAGCCAAGAAATCCTTTGAGAAAGGAATGCGGCTCTTCTCAGCATCGGCTGTATGTGCTGTTTTTTTAAACTTCATCAATCATGGGAAGCTCAGTAGGATATAACTCAACAGCAGACAGATTGCTATTTGCTGCTTTCTTTTAAGAAACAGGTTATAAAACTGTTGGGAGTCTGGTAGAGTAGTTAATAGATCATCTGAAGTACAAAGTAGGATTTTGAAAGCCAGAGAGCTAGAGGAGAGTGAGAGTTCAATGAAAAAGGCATCAACACCATCTCTTGGGCCACTGCCCTGGAGCTTCTGCCACTTACCTTTACCAGTCACCTGCTTCCCTGGGAGAGTCACGCCCAGCAAACCCCACCACAGGCGCTGGCACTTCGAAGGCTGCACGCTGTAGTCAGTGCAGATGTAGCAGTACAGGACAGTTCCTTTTCAAATGATTCTGTGCCCCCACCTAAAACACTTCTTACACCTCCAGTTAGTGCACCTTGGTCACAAAGCTGTGGGTGCTTAAACATAGTCACATGGTCAACATTCATCCAAGACCCCTATTCACGGGTCAACTGGAGGGTTCGTGAGGTCACAGGCTAATGTGTGATAGCAGTTCAGTGATTCTGACACGGAGTCATGCCTGAGGGGGAAGTAGTTTGGGTCATTGTCAACTGTCATCGAGTAGATCCTGACTCATACCCTATAGAACAAGGTAGAACTGCCCCCTGTGAATTTCCAGTACTTTTGACTAGTTATAGGAATAGAAATCCCTTTTTTTCCTTGCTCAGAGTGCTGGTGGTTTCGAGATGATGACCTTGGGAACTGCAGCCCAACACATAACCACTAAGCCACCGGGGTTCCTCTGCAGAGCCTTCTGTTGCTGGTTTCTTCAGCTCTGGACATTGCCCCAAAGGCTGTCGTCTTACAGTCTTGTTGGCTGTGGCTTGAAATGAGTGCCAAAGGAGCGCGCTCTTCTTGGTAAATATGCTTGTCAGGGACTCAGGAAGTGTGACGCCATGTGGATAGAAGTCTGTCTTAGTCTCATTGGGGTTTCAATGGAGCTAAAGCTGGCCTCTTATTTCCTGTTTCGTTTTGTTTTCCAGACCACCAAGGCTTTTCTTCCCACAATGCTGGAGATTAATCATGGCCACATTGTGACAGTGGCAAGCTCCTTGGGATTGTTCAGTACTGCTGGAGTGGAGGTTTGTCAGATATGAAGCATTTCCCCCATTTAATCAGTTACCTTGTGATGAGTACCCCCAAATTCTAAGAAAAATTCATGAAGTTCGTGCGAACACTCTAGCTGTGTGCGGTTTGTAAAATGATCCACAGGAACAAAGGGCAGAAGACTGTACCCACTGACTGCTGTCAAAATGGAATCCTGCCTCCCCTGCCATGACTACTATGATGAAGGAGCAGCAGAGACAGTGTGGCCCATTTTCATTAGCAGTTTGACAGGATGATGCCGAAGGCATAGGGTCAAGAATGGAACTATGTGGGGCAGAGGCAGCACGGCGGGGAGCAGAAAATTAGGCCAAAGGTTGATGATCGGTTTGGGTTAAGCTCACTAAAAGTGAGCTCTCTGGTGCTAGCTCATCATATGAGATGACCCTCACAAATGTGAGCCACCCAGAACCCTGAGGTTTGTAGGAATCTACCTCTTCAAAGAACTAGGCTTAGTCAAAATCTCCACTATAGTCAAACTAGAGTGTTTGTGTGTATGGTTCTGTGCCATCCTTGACAGCCAGAGGCTTAATATTTCCATTCCTGAATTTAAAACTTGGGGTTGGAGAAGAGTTTCTATACCGCATGCCCTAAGATTAAGCTCTCATTTAAGTTTATCAGGTCTAGTTTTCATTTTCACTTTTACTTCACTCTGAAAAGAAAGTCGGATCATAACTTATAACCTAGGCTAGACTTACCTTTGTTCTTCTAGCATTAATTTAAACAAACTGGTTTTTATGTTTGTAAATTTTCCAGACACTTCAAAGTTAACCTCTGTCCAATTTCAGCTTGTTAACTTGCATAGAATTCTTCGTGGTAACTTCCCTAAAGTAATAGGATCCTTGTTTGATGTGGCAAAAGTATTCACCTGTTTTTTTCTGTTGCTTTAGAAATAGTATTCCTTCAGTGAACCACATCAACTATTAGTCTTTAAAAAGGATTTTATTTTCTTGGCTTAGTCACCTGAACTTCTTGTATGAAACAGCTAACCAAAGCAGTAGGACCAGAAAGCCTCTGGTTGACTGGGGGATTCTGCACACAGTGAACATTTCTCTTCTCGCTATCTCTAACCTAGGATTACTGTGCCAGTAAATTTGGAGTGGTGGGTTTTCATGAGTCTCTGAGCCATGAACTGAAGGCTGCTGAAAAGGATGGCATCAAAACAACATTGGTTTGCCCTTACCTTGTGGACACCGGCATGTTCAGGGGCTGCCGAATCAGGTCAGTCAGAACCCATCTTCTAATAAACTGTAGTAAAAATTGTCTGTCCAGGTTGGGAGAGATTAGCTTTTGTTTTCATTGTTTGTGATTTGTACAATTACTTTGAGATGTACAAGGTTGACAAGAAGTGATGCAAGGGTAATCTTTTTCCCCCTTAATGGTTATAAATACCACATTGGCCAAATTGGCATTTTTCAGGTATACAGTTTAGTGTGATCAATTACACGGGGTTTTTCTCAAAAGGCCACTTCTTTGGATCTTAGTCTGTGAAATATTAACAACCAAACCCAGTCAGGTTGATTCCAACTCAAACAGGGAAACAGCCCCATAGGGTCTCCAAGGCTATAAATCTCTCCAGGGCCAGGCTTGCTTCGGCAGCACATAGACTAAAGTTGGAACGATACAGAGATTAGCATGGACCCTGTGCAAGAATGACAAATTCGTGAAGCGTTCCATATTAAAAAAAAAACTCTCCAGGACCTTTCTGCTGCAGAGCAGCCAGTGGATTTGAACCACCAGTCTTTGGGTTAGCAGCCAAGTGCGTAACCGTTGCACCACTGGGGCTGCTTTTTACAACATCGGTGTCGGTAAAGAAAAAGGAGGGTCTTCTGGGGACCAAGTTGGAAATGCAGTTATCTCCCTGTCACAAGGGCTTCTTCTACAAGACCTTTGAATATTACCCTCCAGATTGGAAACTTCCTTTTTGTGGGGAATATACGTAACTAGAGTCATCACTCTGACAGGATGAGAACTGCTTTTGAAAGTACTAAAAGATCCGCACCCTTTGAATAGAAGGCATACGGGAATATGTCAGTTTGTATCTGAACACATAAACAAAATGGGCAGTCATGTAGAGAGAGGGTACTCATGAGACCTGCTCACTTTGAGATCTGGGCTCGGATCATGCTGCCAGGCAAAGGAAGACAGCTCCCTGTAGGCATCGGGCCATTCTGAACAAATTGGTTGGGAAAGAGTAGCCTGCTCCCTTAAAATGGAAACTTTACCATTGAATAATCTCAATCTCCAGCGGACCCCAAGCCCAGATTGAGCTCACTGCCGCTTTGCCCTGGTGCATATGCGCATGGATGGGTGCAGATGTGGGGAGCAGGCTTGGCTTGAGTTTTCCCCCTTAAATCCTTTACGAGCTGACCACCGAGGGTCTAGAGGAGCAGTTTCCTCTCTAGAAAAATGGCAGGTACAAGATCAGGTCTGGGGTGGGCAACAGAGGAAAGGATAGACTGCATTGTTGCTTTATCCCATCCTAGAAAGCAGTGAACTGGCTTGCGGGCATAATGTGCACATGCACTTGTTTCCCAGAACCCACCAGCCTGGAACGTCTGTATTCATGCATGAAAAGACAGGAGATCACACCTGTCTTTTCTCTATCTCGGGCTGTGCCAGTATTGACGTACCATTATTCTAACTACATCTAACAAAATTGTTTTAAAGGCATTTTGTCTGCCTTTAGTTTTTGTTATGTCTAACACCTTCTACATCTTCTATCAAAACAAAAGAAATCTGAAATATATTTTGAGGCAACAAGAAAAACTAGTTCCTCATTTTAAGGGAAAGCAGACCAGTTTGGCTTGTGGTCCCCCACAACCCACACAATATTAGCCTAACGGTGCAGCTGATTCCCTTTCACAGTAGGAACATTCGGATGATACAGCAAAGCAGAGAGCGGGAAATGGCATGCTCCTGGACCCCTCGCTCAAAGCCTTCCATGTGTAGGCCCACTACCGCGTCTTGGGTTACTTACGCTGCTCTTTACAACTTACAGGAAAGAAATCGAGCCTTTCCTGCCCCCTCTGAAGCCGGATTACTGTGTGAAGCAGGCCATGCAGGCCATCCTCACTGACCAGCCCATGATCTGCACCCCTCGGCTCATGTACATCGTGACCTTCATGAAGAGGCAAGTCGGGGAGGGCTTCCTGTCTCCCCAGCCCGCCCCTCTGGCCTCACCTTCACTAACGGTTGCCCTTTCTTTTTTCAGCATCCTCCCTTTTGAAGCAGTCGTGTGTATGTATCGGTTCCTAGGAGCGGACAAGTGTATGTACCCCTTTATTGCTCAGAGAAAACAAGCCACAAATAATAATGAAGCAAAAAACGGAATCTAAGAATCTTTTTGTACGGAATATCATTTGTATCAGAAGATCAAGATGTTTCTGTCCGATGCTCATCAGCATTACTGACATCCTCCGGAGTCTAAGTCCATAATGACTTTTTTTTTTAATCAACTTTTTCAAAAAAAATAAAGTGTGACTAGAGTAACTAGGAAGATGTGATCAACAGGATTCCGTTAGAGAGCCAGTCCAATCGTCAGACAGGCGCCGCGGGGTATCTTCAGACTACCACCGCGGTTTTGATGAGGAACGGGAGTCTAGAGAACACCAGTGTGTCTCGAGTGCGTCGCCTTTCCTAATTCTCGTAGTGTGTATTAACCCTTATCAGTAGACTCTAGCCAGTTGACATCCTTGCAATTTCAAGGACTATAACAGTGCTGTATCTCCTCACGTTTCCCAAGTCTCCGGTTTGCAAACCTGACGTGCCTCCTCTTCATGACATTTGTGTGTTCAGCTCTATTAGAAGGAGGTTTCACAATCCCAGTGGATTCGAGGTCAATGACATTTGAGTTTTAGTCAAGGTGATCAGGTTTCTTTTTTTAAAAAGTAATGAATCATCATCAGCTGATTTTCCGTTTTAATCTTTGAAATATTTCATTATGTATCAATTACTCTGGAGACCTAGTTCTCCCCCAAAACCATGCATAGTTCTACCTATGAATTTTGCTGCATACAGAAAGTGCCCTTTCCTCAGGAGGCTGCTGTGTCTCACTTCTTCGGATGGACTTTTACCTAGTGTTCATAGCAGCTCCGCCAAGAGTTTATAAAAATGGGACCTTCTACCTAGAAAAGTCTCCATTTTTTGTGCCAACATTGATTAGTGAGGGAGGGTGGGGATCATAGTCTATGGAGTGTGTATGGAAGGGTGTAAAGATTCTCTTGAAAGTTTTGTTCACATTGTAGGACAGCAAATGAGATTTTTACAGTATTTTTTTGTAAAGCAAACTATTTTGTGCCTTGAATTTGGTATGTGTATTAGTGAAGCATTGTAAAAGTGAACTTCTACCTCTGTATCTAAATGTATACCATCCATTTGTAAATTACTATAAACTATTATGTGATTGCTTTTTTTTAGAATGTCTTGTTTAAATAGTGACCAATGTTTAAGGCTATAAAAATAAGCCAACTTTTACTAATTAATTGGGGAGTTTTATAAAGGACTGATTAAATTTTAAAAATTAACTTACATACAGCTGCCTGTGTGGTTATTATCAGCCATGTTATAAGGAGAATCATGAGTTTTGCTTTTGCCTTTCCTGTCCTATCCCCTTCCTTAAAGAAAATCATTTGAATTGGGGTGGCTTTGCGTATAAACACTAGCAACGTCGGGTGCCATTCACCCAGATTCCCAGTGTTCCCATCGACTCAGATTACATGAACGTGAAAAAGAACAAGTTGTTACCTTTGCGCTGCACCGCAGATCCGATCTCGGCACTGCATCCACATGGACGAGCTTCTGGCTCACTGCTAATGCGGTCGCCGTCAAGGCAATTCCAGTTCCTAGTCCCAGGTGTGTCAGAGAAGGGTTTCCACAGGTTTTTCAGTGGCTGATTCTTGAGAGATTGCCAGACCTTTATTCCGTGGTGCCTCTGGGTAGGCTTTAGGTGAACCACCACTCGAGCGCGTTACATATTTGTGCTACCCTGAGACAGACATGCTGTTACTGTTCCCAGTGCTAGTCTTACGGAATAGCTTCGTCATACGTTTGAATTTCCCTTGATAAGTAATCCCCACACCTGTGGCTAAAATAGCAATGGAGACCTTAGCTGCCTCTTACTGTTCACTAAAGTATTTAAATACTTTGAAGCAGTCTCCTAACCCTATGTAGTGGGCACAAATATTTTCAGAGACTCCCTGCAGCAAACGCCATTCCAGGTAGAGCTACACTCATTGACCAACTATAAAGAAAGTCATCTTTATATTCGTTTTATTCTTGTGTTGGCATTTAAATCTATTGCATTTGTTTGTTATTACCCTTATGAGATTGTCCACACCTAAGTTTAATAAACCTAATTCACTTAACTGTTTTGGGTAGACTCTTTCATTCCCACGTACTAGTCCATTTTAATTAATTCTGTGTTCTCCCTTGAATGCTGTCCAAATTCCCAACCCCACCTTTAGCCAAGAAGTATGGAAGAGGGTACAGTTAATACAGGAGTAGGGCTACGGGACCCTGCACACTGTACTTCATCTCAATAGCTTAGTCTTAGAATGATGCTACATTACCATCTATTTATTTTACTCCTTAAACGAACTCCTACAGGCTCGCCTGCATACTGTGTTAATCATTTACCGAATTGCCAAGGTCAGTTTTCTTACTTGCTGTTCATTTACACCACCCCACCTTTACCTTGCCATTTCTCTCACCTTAGCCCATTCATGCCAGTGTTCAGGGCCACTAGGCTCAAGGCTGACCCCCTGTGGAGTACCATGTCTGTGCCCCCTGGGTACCCTCCTCCCACTCCCCAACTTGCTACAGTGACACCCATCCTCCCATCTTTTCATGATAGTCATATGGATTCGGACCCAGGAATCAAAAGAGTTTTGAACTCAGGCAACGATAAATTCCAACTATTGCTTTCCCCCTGTGATCTGCCAGGTCTGTTGTCCTGTCACAGGAGAGGAGAGGAGCTTGACAAGATGGAGGCAAAAGCCAGGCTGAGTGCATGTGTGTGTGTGTCCTGTTTCCTTTGCTTTCCAATTGTTCCCAAGTTACAAGAGAAAACCAAGCCAGATTTTTTCAGAGTTTTCTTTCCGGACTGACAAAATAGGTCTAAATTGACATTGACCTCAATCTTGAAAATGGGTTTTGCCACCAGCATACTGAAGCAGTGGGGGCTGGGGGTGGGAGGGTAGTAATTACCAAATGTATTGCCTGTGTCTGATTAAAGAGAGAAGCCAGGAAAGCAAGGTTGTGATGGAACGGAGTAGCTGGGACCGAGCCAGGAACCATATACATAGTTCAGCAAGTGCCCTGGGTGCCCACTAGGCTCAGGGATCTGTACCAGAGACATGCCCTTCCTACGGCCCTTGATTCGAGTTGACCCCGGCTCCTCTGGCTCTTTGGAGTATTTGGGGAGTTCCAACTGCTGGCCTGCAGTGAGCTGCCCCCCCCTCGTGTAACTGCAAAAAAAGAAAAAAAACTCACTGCCAACTCGGCAATCCTACAGGACAAAGTAAAACCGCTCCTGTGGGTTTCCGAGACTGACTTCACAGGAGTAGAAAGTCTAGTGCGTCTCCCAAGGAGCTGCTGCTGGTTTCGAACTGCTGGCCTGGAGGATCATAACCCAATGTGTCACCATTATACCATCAGGACACCTCATAACTACACCAATAAGGGCTCACAGAGCTCGTAATTAACTCACAAGCAAGTACCTTTATGGCCACACACCCAAAAAGAAGCTTTAGGAGTGGTAAGGGGAGACCATAGGAGTTGGTAAGTCTCAGATGCTGAGGTTAATTGAGAATGAAGAGGTTAATTCTAGTGCCTGGGTTATCAGGGATGGCACAGAGGTTGAAAAAGGTAAGATTATGCTCATGGCCAAAACAACATCATGAAAGAGTTCTAAAAAGGCCCCAACTGGAGAGTACTTTTACTCAGGATGAGAAATGAGTGCTCTTTTGAGCACTCTAGAGAGATGCTCTAGAAAGGTTCTTAGGTGTGAGTTAACACTCCATCAGCCCGCTATCAAGGCTTTCCAGGAAGCGGAGACCATGTAGGAGGGAAGCGCTTGCAGTAGTCCAGCTTAGAGGTGATCCAGACCAGCAAGAGAGACAGCGCCTTAAGAATGGACAGGAAGACGCGGCCAGGGGAACCTGCCAGGCTCAACCACTGTTTGCACAGGGGCTTGGACCTTTAAGCTTGAAAGGCTAAAGATGCAAAGTCCAAGATAAGCCCATGGGAGCAGAATAAACAGTGACTGATTTCAGAGATGATGCACTTGAAATGCCAGGTGGCCACACCTGGCAGGCAGGTGGACGGGTAGCTCTGGTGCTCAGGAAAGAGGCGGCGCTATTCCTGAACCCTCTGCACAGAAGCTGGGAATGAGAAGAATCCCAAAGATTAAGCCATGGGGAGTGTGAGGGGGCAGCCGAAGGAGAAATCATCAACGGTGACGTTAGGGCAAAGTTAGGAGGAGAACTTCCTCATCCCGAGGAGAAACCAGACTAGAAACAATTATCTCCTCTGCCTGGACCTAATCCCCAAGCTGAGTCACATAGAGGAAACCTCAGACTGGCCCAGAAAGAGGCTGTGTGGCCAGGCGAGGGCCAGAGACCCGAAAGGTGAAGGGCAGTGCTAACAGATAGCACATGGCCTCTCACACTGTGCTCTCGGTTTCTAGTCACTGAACCCATTGTTACAGCGACCGAAGGAAATCTTTTTCCTAAGTGAAACCTGGAAACTGTTGTTCTTTGGCAGTTTTGTTCTTTGGCAACTTGCTTAAGTGCACAGGCAATGTTTCATGAGAACACTGGGGCGGGGGGTGGGGGGTTACAAGATTCATTTCAACTATCACCAAATGGATACAGGTTGTTTCAAATGAACCCTTCTTATATGCGCCAAAAAGATGGGACAGGACCAGCTTTTAGCAGCCTGCATGACCAGACGGGCTCCTAGCTGCTGAATTCTCCGCTGCCAGGGTCAGATTCCTGCCCACAGCCCACTGCCCTTCCCTGCCCTCCTAGTAAATGGCAACGTGGAGGATCCTTCAGGTGACTAAGCCCCAGGAATTACTCCTTCCGCTTCTCTCTGGCCCTTCCATTTCCAAACTCGCACGTGCTGTTTCAAAGCGCTCCCACATTTTCACAACTGCCCCCTCTATTATGTATTAAATCATGTCCCCCACACCCCCAAGAGAAATCCGAACCCCTACATCTGTGGTTATAATCCTAGGTAGGCATGGGTTTTCTAGGTTAAGGTCACGAGACAGGATTAGTGTAAGGTGTGCCTTAAACCAAACTGAGATATAAAAGAGATTAGACAAGCAAGCGAGAAGCAGAGCTGGGGCAGAGATGCCAAGAGCCTTGAAGATGGATTACCAAAGAGCAGAAGCTCCAAAGCTACAAGGACCTTCCTCCAGGGCTGACAGAGAACAAGCCTCCCCCCAGAGCTAGCCAGCACCCTGAATTCAGTCTCCACCACGCTGAGAAGATGCATTGGTTTGCTTTCTGCTGTTCCAGCACTAGCTAGCTGAGGGTAAGTGACACCACTCCACCCTGGTGGCCTGGGACTGGGTGGCAGGGCATCCAGAGTCCTGCTTCCTGCGCAATCCTGTCTCATCGAACCCGCTCCCTTCCTGTAGAGAACTGACGGTATCTCCCAGCAGCTCCTGACAGGCTTTTTAGCGGCAATGGTTGAAACCTCTCAGCGTCAGCCAAAAGAAAGAGAATGGATTAGCAAGAAAAACAAAGCATCTTCATCCCAGAGTCTAAGGTTGAGGCTTTCCTGTCAAGGTGATTGAAACCATGCTGCGAGAAGAGAAGCATGTGCAACACAGCCATGAAGAATGCCCCCTTGCCTTGCCCGCACATTCTGGGTGGTCCACCTGGCCGCCACTGGCAAGACTCCACCCTGTGGAAGGGCTAGCCTGCCCTCCCCCTGCCCCTGCTTCCCAGTGCAGCCTCCCCCTGCCCAGGAGCCTCGCCCCACCAGCACAGGCCCTCCGTGGGGCCCCGCCTGGATTGAGGAAGCTAAGTGCAAGTGGGGGCGTCGGGCTGGTGCCAACCCAGCTAACCCAGCTTCAAGGCCTCCTGGCAGCCTGAACTCCCAACCTGCTCTGACTCGCACGGCCCCAAAGTAAAACAGGAAGAAGAGCAGGACTTACTTCAGATGTCCCATGGGAAATAGAAGACCAGATAGGGAGCCCTGGGGGTGGAGGGCTTACACAGTCTGCTGCGATCTGCATGGTTGGCAGTTTGAAATCACCAACAGCTCCATGGGGGAAAGACTGGCCTTTCTACCCGCTGTCAACAGTTATCATCTCAGACACCACACACACACACACACACACACACACACACACACACACACAC